ACATTTGTCCTTGTTTTCGTATTTATTTTGGATTGGGTTTTGTTCCGCAAAGGATCCATTGGTGCTTTCCCAGAGGATCCGTTGGCGTCAGTGCGTATTTATTCGCTAAGCTCGTGAATGGCTAATTGGCCATATTTTAGCGGTGTATAGTTAAGTTGCAAGATAAAGATCATATGGAAGGCATGATTTCAGCGGTGTACAATCACGTTATAAGATATTTAGCATATAGAAGTAAAATAAATAAGTTTAATAATGACATTTAGCGGCGTATAGTTAACAAGGGAGGACGTGTGCTGTATTATGTAACACGAGAATGCGCGTCGCAATTAAATGACATACAAATGAAACATATTATTACAATTCAGTAAAATAATGCATTCTGTATTAACTACAACATTTATTATATAAAATAGCTTTAAAATAATATTAATTTTAAAATTAATAACAAATAAATCAAAAGTACTCCATAGGTTTTCTTCAGATGACTAGGAATCATTGTTTTCTACGAGAAATTTGTGTTTTTAATTTTGAATGCAATTATAATCCATATTATGCAGAATTATTACATGGACAATGAGTCATATAATTAATTTTCGAATCAATTACACTCAAGAAGAATTAGATATTTTGTAGTTTATACGTGAAGTTTCTGTTTCACAGTGTTCTTGACATATATTTTTTTTTACACTTCATACAGTTTTTGATTTTTTGTATTTTTCCCTTCAGCACATGTAACATCTCCAGTAACATAATTTTCTTTTCTTTGTTTGCAAATCTTCAAGAGAATCTCCGTTGTATTTCTTCTGTTTCTGTCATGATTTCAAATGAGGATCTAAAAGTGCAAAGGCCAAATCAGAAGTGCCTCTTATCCTGAACTTCTCTGGTGGAGTTTTAGTAGATAAAAGCAAGATCATTGAATTTATGCTGGCAATATTTCATAGAGACAAAAATATGCCCATAGGCCATTGGTTTGATATTCTGGCCACAGAATAAGTGCCACCCATTTCGTCAACTATATCAAGTGCTTCTTTTGTCAAGTTATAAAGCATAATTACTTCAGATTTCTTCAAATCTCCCGTGCTTTCATCAATATGGTCATCATTGTGCATAGTTGACAAAAGGTTAACACAATTGTTCTTCTCAGCCATATAAGAAAGTAGCATTATATCCTTTTGAAACCCCAAAAGAGTTGAATGCTGTTTTCTATTCTTATTCGACACAAATTCAGGTGGGATAATCTTCCTATCCTTGCATATTGTTCCAACGATAGAAATTTCATTTTTCTGTAAAAAATATACCAATTCATAACTGGTATACCAACTGTCTGTGATAACGTTTCCTCCAGAATTCTATAACGGAGCTAGGATGCGCTTTGCTTTTTCACAAGAACTGTTGACTTTCTTGTGTGGCCCATCTGGCTGCTGACCAGAGTAAATTTCCATGTTGAAAGTATAGAAGATTCTAAAATCAAACACAGTAAATAGCTTTATATCATATCTTGCAGGTTTCTTACGCATATACTGCCAAAAGGAGCATCATCCTCGAAAAGGTTTTAGCTTTTCATCCAAAGTCATGTATTCCCCTACATGGTATAATTTCTGACAATTCTTGACAAAATTTTCAAACAAATCTCTTATCGAAGCTAATTTATCACTCTTTCTTCTGCCACCCCGTGTTCCGACATCAACGAATCGTAAGGCATGAAGAATGAAAAGAAAACGCTTATAGTTCATTTGTTTTACGAAAAATATATGTTCCATCAGTCGCCCATAATTCTCTAACATTTACATGGAAAGATTTAAGCAATCCAACTATGTCCTAAAAAAGCAACAAACTCTTCTTTCTCCATAGGTTTTGAGTCTCTTTTTAAAATTTCCCAAAATATTTTTTACATAAATAGTAGAGCATTCGCAATCATTTCAATCATTGTGTCATCAAATATTAGCTTCCATGCATTGATGGAGTGAAGCCACATCTTTAGATATATGTGTATTGCCAAGGCAATTTTTTTATGATATTATGGAAATGAGGATATTGCCATGCGTCTTTGAAATTCGAAAGGGTTCTTTTCTTCCATTTTGTTGTTTTATCTTTTCGTACAAAATAGTCACTTTGATCACAAGGAATGTCTTCTGAAGAGTCGCACTCTTTTTCTGGATTCAGACTGATGATCACTAAATATTATATGTCTTCATTATCTGAATTCTTGTAAGAAAGCCCAGTTTCTGAAAAGATGTTTGGAAACTTATAAGAAATGATGTTCTGCAAATTTACCTTAAAATGGACATAATTCAATGCTCTACACATTAATGCAATTTAGAATAACTAAACTGAGAATGGAAAAAGCAATATTCTCATTTCCATTTATGAAATAATCAATGCTGTTGACAAATTAATATGTACCCTAGGATAATTCCAGTTCCAGAATGTCATTGAAATTATTTCTCCTTATAACAGATGTGGAAGAAACCAGCAGTTCCAGTATTTTAGACTTTGCATCAGGCCTGATGAAATTAAACATGACAACATAATTTTCTTCTGAAAGATGCAGCCATACGTATGAAAAAGGCAGATGAAACACTTCTCAAAATGTTGTATCTGAAATGAGTCGTAAATGCTTTGCGTGAAAATTTCATGAATTGTTGCCAGATGTTGACAAACCTATTTGTATTCTAAGAAAGATCTTTTTTAATCTCTGTTATAGTGAGAGTCTTTGGAGAGACTGCAGCTGATATATTAGTTTTCACGAAGTGGGTAACATGGTCAAGTGAGATTGTTATTATGCCAAGCAGTAATAACTTTAGGGGACATGACAGTGTGATGGCCCAAAATACTAAATACTGAAGGTTCAAACTACCAGTAGTCAGCAACTGTATTGCTCAGCTGCATGTGAACTTGAACAAAAGTATGAATATCTTATTAGTGAAACCCATGATATAAGAAAATTGGGAAAATTTATAAAGTTTTCAAGATTAAAACATGTCGATTGTACTATGAATCCCATGGTTCTGACATGTTTTAAATATACTCCTGCCACATAGATAGAAGCTGAATGATCATTGTCCTGCTTACAACAGATATAACATGTCAGTGTAGAATCTGAAGGAAAGATTAGGTTACTCGAATGTGGCAAAAAATACCGGCTATCGACCTGAAGAAGGAAACCTTTTTTGAACAACTTTCTAAGGGAAACTGGCTTGTATTTGCATTACATATGAGAAAAACTAGAAAAATCAACCATACAGCCTGCCCTTTAACTATGATATAAAACCAGATGAAATTGCCAGTATTTGATGGTCTTAACCAGTTGTAGGAAAAATTTGAAGGAAATGCTTGCAATATCATGTAATCAGAAATTAACTATGTGTTACATAGCAGGATTACTTTTTCAAGTGTCGAGGTTGGGAATATTTTTTTTCTTTTTCTTTATATAAGTTGGCCATGGTATTTATTACATGTATTCTCCGTCATTCATACAGAATACTAATATTTTTCGTAAAAAAGTGTCTTTTTCATTAAGTGCTTTGCTTGTCGATATTCTCAAAATTGTTTAATAATTAGTTAATTAATTAATGGATTCATTACTAAATAATACATTTCAAACATTCATTTTTTACAAGCAATTTTTCAAAGTTGTTGTTTGAATTTTTTTTTAATTTACTTGCTGATAGCTTAAAATATTTTATTTTGAAACAACTTGTCTTTTTCATAATAAATTTGACAATGCCAAGAATCTTCAATAATATTCAAATCCTTTAAAGTAGCATTGTAAATAAAACTAGAAGAAACATTATACATCTTGTTATCTTTCAAGATTCATTCAAACTCTGATTAATTACTCAAAGCAGTGGTTTACTAACTTTGATGACCCTGGGAATACATAAAAGTATTTTGCCATCTCAGAGAACCAATAATAATTTTTATTTCATTCTAATCATCTATTGTATACCTAACATCCTCTGAAATATAATTGTTAAAATGCATAAAAAATATATCAAGTTTTTAAGCACGAAAACTGATTTAATTCTTATTATTTTAGGTAAAAATACCAGTAATAAAAATAAAAACTTAATTATTTAAAATGTATATTATTGCGGCCCACGTTAATCATAATATTTAAAAAGCCCTATGATTCTGCGTGTTTAAAGTCTTTTAAAAATTACGTAAGAACACAGCCATACTATTCTAAACAGCCGTGTTATCAATTATCGTTCACACCCGCCGATTTTCACCGCCTCATCCGGTAGTGCAGAACCGCTAGCCAACGGCAAAACAGAGCCCCGAACAGACGAGAAATATTCTTTGTCTAAAGACAAGCGCTTGTACAACCAGGTTGCTACCTCCGACAAGCCAATTCGCCGGGTTACCAGCTTTGAACTTTTATCGCCATTTTTGGCAATGTTTACATTTAATGGATCCTTTTCGGAAGTGCTTCCTTTGGATTTAATAGAATTATCATTCTTTTCATGAAGCTGTATATAAATTAAACTTGTGGCACAACAGCCCTAATGGACCACGACCTGCAGTTCCCCGATATGCCCTGCGCAAGCGGTCAGCTTGTCGCAAGACCCCTGGTATTTAGTCCCCAAGCGAACTTGGTAATCATTTTATCGACCCATTTAAGTGATGAAAGGCTGAGTCTTTCATCCCTTCTAACTATGTGCAGCTACGCAACATGCTAGTCACTGTGCCACAGCAGAAGAAAGGAAAAAGCATTTCCAGGCATTCCAAAATCATAATGAATATATATGTATCATATATATGACCAAAATAATTTAAAAGTACCAAAAATAACTTTACAATTTAGGAATTTCTTTAAAAAATTTCATGCAGAAACTAAATTATTTTAAAATATAATGGCCACACGAATGGAAGAACCAGTATTTCATTAGTCATTTTAATATAAAATTAGGAAAAAATGTCAAGATAGAAACACAAGAAAATCAATTACCTTTCATTCTTAAAATAATAATAATAAATTTTAAAAAAGAGATACTATATTCAGTAATAGTATTTAATATGATCGACATTCACTTTATAAAACAAAAGAAAATGCAGAGAATGTGGTACTCTTGTTATCAGGATTGGATTCAGAAATGTTATGTGTATGTATACACACATACATACGCATGCATGCAAACATGAATACATTTCTGAATCTGGTCCTGATAACAGAAGAGTATCAAGAATGTTTATGTAAAGAATGTTTTATGTAAATTTCAATAAAACAACAACTAAAAATGATTAGTTAGATGATTATTTTTCGTTTTGAAAGAAATTTCTCTTCCTTAACCAAATACAGAAGTAAATATACTAATATACAGCAATGCATAGTTCATTTTTATATTCATTTCTACAAATATCTAATTATGTGTTACGTCAAAGAATAATTGTACTTTGCATTATAATTTTCTAAAAAGTTTTCACTCATAAATTTGCATAAAAGTTTCTATCAACATAATTAATCTATTCCATTATATGAGATTTTTCATGCCTATCTAAAGCATTTTTGTTTTTAAATGATTTTGGACACATATCACAAGCGTACGGTTTTTCATTAGAATGTACTGTATAGTGTTGCTCAAGCCCAACTTTCATCTTGAAGCGTTTGCCGCACTCTTCACAAGCATATGGACGTTGCGATGTATGTGTTGAATAATGTTTATGTAGATTTGTCTTCAAAGTGAATGCTTTGAAACAGACTCCACAAACATGAGGTCGTTCATCTATATGTATAAGTCGATGTTTTTCTAAATACCCTTTGGAGGTGAAGGATTTACTACAAAGATCACAAACATACATCGGTTTGTTGTCGGTATGTATCAAAAAATGTTTCTGGAGATTAGTTTTTAACGTAAACGCTTTGGAGCATATGTTGCAAACATGAGGCTTTTGTCCAGTATGTATTAAATCATGTTTCTTGAGGTAGGCCTTTGAAGTAAAATCTTTGCCACAACGTTTGCACTCATATCGTTTCGCTTTTTCAGGATCATGTGTGAGATAATGTTTCTGTAAATTCGATTTGTGACTAAATCCTTTATCGCAAACATCGCATGAAAATGGTTTTTCGCCTTCGTGCAGCAAGTGATGTTTCAAAAGGTAAGCTTTGCTAGTGAAGCCTTTGTTGCATAGATTACACACGAATGGTTTTGTCACATTTTCTGCATCCGCATCGGATACGATCGTTTCTGTTGGTTCATCATTTTGATATCCGTGTGTTAGCAAATGTTCTGTAAGATCTGAATTTTTCGTAAAGGCCTTCCTACACAGATGGCACAAATGAGGAATAACAGTAAGACTAGTAACGCCATTTTCAGTCTTTAGTACATTAGATACCAGCATAATTCACACCTGAAAGTTCTAAGTGTTATTATTTATCAATAATTAGGTATGCTTGACGAATAACAGACATTTAACTACAAAACAAACGTTTTAACAACATTAATCCCAATGGCGACGGGCAGACAGACAGACAGACAAGGTAGACAGATGTCTTGTTTGCACTCGCTAAGTCTTTCTGCCCATAGGACGAAAAATCGAGTTGAAGTGCGAAAAACAGTTATATAGACAGAGGTGTAAAAATTAACTTTAAAATAATCTTTTTTTTTTCTTTTTTAACCTTCAACAACATCAGTAGTGAATATCCATCTCAAAAAGATATATAGTTTTTAAAAACAATACAGGAGGTACTAGAGTATGTATCGCAATTAGTAATTGATAATCGCATATTTTAATAATTTTTAAATATCATAATAAATTTAAATATTGTCTAATACTTCACTGACCATTTTACTTTTAAAAACTTGTGAAATCTTTTTTTCTAAATTGATTCGTTATCATTTTGCATTTTTAATATCTTAACCGTAACTTCTGAATTGTTGTCTATTGTCGGCTGTGTCAACCCTGGAGAGGGCGCTGCGATCACCGAGGCAAGCGGCTGGACGTTCGCAGCGCTCCGTAAAAAAGTGAAAAAAATTACTTTTCCCTTGGGGATTATCAATTAAATTGCTTTGAAATACTTATTTTTCTACAATACCTACACGTTTTCAAAAGTTTTTCAGTTGCGATGTTGATGAGAATGAAACAGCGGACAATGTGAGGAAGTACAACGAAAGGCTGGAATTTTAAGATAAGTACCCTTCTTTCATCTAAACTCAATCAAATTTCTATAAATAATGTGCCTTTAAATCAATAAATTTTAACTTTTTAATCAGTTTTTAGCATTAAAAAATACTTGAAATTGCTCATTGCTTGTGGCTTCCTTTGTGAATCAATTCCAAACAGACGGCAACGTTATCAGTTCACGTCTGTCACCACTTACAAAGCCCCTTATCTTGTTTTGAGGAATCTCGTGAGAGAGAAAATTTGGGGATTCGGGGTATCACGCCTCTCAGATCTTCTGGATTCTGTTTTTTTCAGATCGCTTAAATATATTTTAGCCTTTAAATAATATTATACCTCAACGATTTTTTCTCATACTGTTCCTTGCTATCTGTTAAATGTCCATATGTAAGGAATTATTCTTCATTTGGTTTATTCTTCACCGCCTTAAATGAATTCTTAGAACTATGAGCTTATTAAAAACAGTGTCCCTCATTGTGTTTAGTACTAAATTATTAATTAAGTATTAATAATTATGATGGCAAAATAATAATTGTAATAAATTATGATATTAAATTAATAAATACTATGTTTAATTTGTGTTTTTACTACATATACTCAGTAATTTACACACACACACATATATATATATATACATCTTTTCTTTTGTGTTTTTTTTTGTGTGTGTGTTTGTGTGCGGTTGTGGTCTTGTATTGTATATGGTTCTATGTAGTTTGTTTGCTGCTGTTTTTTGAAAAATGTATGAAAATGTTAGGAACGAAAATAGCGCTGTTCTCCGAACCTCATCCTTTATTTAAAATTTGATTTTGTCCCATATTTTCTTCCTCACCTTTTGAACTCGTACAAGATGTACGAAGTTTCTTTGGTAAAATTAAATTATGATATAAATTAAATACTATGTTTTGGTTTTTTAACATATACTCAGTTTTTAGACACACACACATATATATTATATATTTTATATATTGTTTTTTTTTTTTTGTTGTGTGTGTTGTGGTCTGTTTTTGGATTGTTCTATTTGTCTATTTTTTTTTTTCTGTGTTTTTTGGCAAAATGTATGGAAAACTTTTACGAAAAATATGTTTTTATTTTAAATTACTATTCTTTGTATATGACTTTTGATATCTATATATTATTTGTTTTCATTTACTTGATATATTTCACCGTTGTATTTTGCTCCCCCAGTAAGCACAATATTTTTTCTCCCCAGTGCACATCTATTCATCATTACCAAACACACTCACCACACACAACACACACACACCACACTTGTGAGACACTTTTATTGTAAATGAAGACAAATTTTCCTCCTTTTAACTACACTCTTGGACACAATCGTATTTTAGGATATTTTCTACTTCTTTTCCTTTTCTTTCTATAGGCCCTTTTTTTTTCCTCTCTATTATTTTTGGGCCATTTATTTTAAATTTTATTTTGTCCCATCTTTTCTTCCTGACCTTTTGAACTCGTGCAAGATGTACGAAGTTCCCTTTTTACTCTCCTCAAATACGAAATTGTCCCATTTCTATATACCTTTCCTTCGCACCTATGCTTGATTTTTCGCCCATCGGTGCAGAAAGACTTAGCGGGTGCAAAACAAGACATCTGTCTACTTTGTCTGTCTGTCTGTGTCAACCCTAGGGAGGGCGCTGTGATCACGTACGATGGAGGCAGGATCTTGGAAAAGCTCCTGAATTTTCAAAGGTGTTTTCCGGAAAAATCTTCATTTATTTAAGAAAATTTTCGCGAATATCCTCTGCATTGTCTCGTTCTCAAGGCCGGGATTTCTCCTGTACCTGGGGGGGGGGTCTTGTCTTCCTTGCAATCTTTTGCAGCACTAAGACGGAGCGTTCAGATAAGCAGAACTTCTTTTTCCTAAGCTAAATCAAATATCTGTCACTAAAGTACCTTTAAATTCATTTATTTATTATGATCATTATTATTCTTATGCTCATTTTATTATGTTCTGGCATTAAATACTTAGTAATTGCTTTAAATCATGGGGTTCTTTTTTGGTTACCATCTCGTAGGGACGCTATCCTTATCAGTAGTGTTAGCCCTACCCATTGGGGCCCCTTTGAGGAATGTCTCGAGAGGGAAAAACACGATCTCGGGCCTTAATGAATGTGCAGAGTTGTAGTTTTTGCTCCTTTAATCTATATTTCCTATCTATTTAAATTAAAAGCATATATTAATACAGTGTGCCTCAAATTGATAAAATAGTACACATATAATAAATTATGACCATTAACTTTAATAATTAATAAAATGCCTATTTTTTTTTAAAAATTAATTAATAATTAATAATAAAAAAAAACTCCGTAATTTATTTACTTATTTATTTTTTGCTGATATTTTCTCTCGCCTTGTTTTGGATTATTATGATTTTATCTGATGGTGTTTTCTGAGTATATAAATATGTTGGAAACCGCAATAGATGATGTTACTTAGTTTAATGTATAACTTTGCATGATATTATATGTATCTTGATCTTATGTGTCTTCTGTTACTGTGTCTCAAGGTAGAGGCTAATATTGGTTTCCATGTTAAAAAATAAAAGTTTAAATTTAAAAATTTTTAAATTTTAGTTTCCCTGTTATAGCAAAACTTAGCTTCTAAACTTGATTTATACTGTTATGTGACTGGACCCCCAATATTTATTATTTTATTATTAATTTTCCCCATCTTTACATCTATTCAGCTTTACAAAACACACTCATTACACACACCTGGAAGACTGTATTTAATGTAAATGATAACAACTTTGACTACACTCATGAACAATCGTGGTTTTTTTTTTTTTTTTTAAACAAAATTCTCTTACTTCCTTTCCTTTTCTTTCTATAGGCCCTTTTTTTAATTATTATCCCTCTATTATTTTCCTTATTTTTTCATCCTTTTTTCCCCTTTCGAACTCGATATTGGTTCTTTTTTTTTACGAATTGACCCCCGATAGGTGTACCCGTACGACGTCGGACGTTTAGCTGAAACATGGTAAAAATGCTAAACGTACGACTAGTTGCGCAGAGACACTTTCGTGATTTCTGCGCATTCCGACCAGTCGTAAAGAGATGTTTGTTTACATTTGTGTTGATTATCGGAAGGGTGAATTGCTTTTCCGTGTAGTGCTAGAATGTCAAGAAAAAGTTATTTTTTATTTCGTTTGATGACTAATTACTATCATTCTTTGATAGATATCTAAAACATTATATAAAATAAAGAACTTTGAATATATCTGAATATTATTCTTGTTTTAAATTGCTAATGTTTGATCATTTTATACTGATGCGGAGTTTACACAAATAATCAAAATTTCTTGAAATTCTTATCAACAGATTTAAATAAATCATGCATGCAAGCAGTAAAATCACATTCTTATGAAACGAAATTGAAAAATCGTCTTAAAACCTTGTGTAATTTTTCTGTCATGCGTAGCTAAATATTTCTATAAAATTGCATACAGAAGCATTTATATACATAAAGAGTGTGTTCAGGAGATTAATTCAGAAATGTATGTGCATATGCTTGTATGTACCGGATGTAGGTGTTCATGTAGCATATGTATATGTGTGTACATACGTTTGTGTGTGTGTGCACAGATATACATGCATACATACATTTTTGAGTCTGGTCTCGAAAAATGTCTTGCTGAAAAAGAATGTAAACAAACCACCCAGCTCCTTAAAAAAAAAAAAAGTTTAGAAATTTTTTTATCATAATTTTGGTTTCTACAGCAAACTTTTGTGTGTGGGTTTGTTTTAAACTCTTAGAAGAACTCAAATTTTAATATAAAGACGTGAAAATTTTTTACCTTTTGATAGTGTACCTGATGATTTATTAAAAACACAATTGACTCTCTTATATTTAATATTGAAAAGAAGGAGGGGGATATGTACAAAATTATAATAAAGATAATTCTAAGGTATTTTTTATAAATATATGTGACTGATTACACTCTGAATATAGAAAAAATAATCGCTTACAAATGACTTATGCAGTATTTGTTTTATTATCATATCCTCCTGCCCTCATAAGCTCAAAAATAAAACTTTATACAGGAAAGTCATTTTACCTCCAAATATATTTTATGGTATTGAAGTATGATAACAGATGATTATTTTTGTTAGAAAAAATTATAATGTTATGAATATTTTCCTGAAAATAATTATACATTATATTCAAGCATATTTATATATTATATATATATATATATATTCAAGTAATAGATGACATATTTATATATTCTATTTAAGAAATAAATGGCAGCACTATGTCTTGTCATTAACTTTATCAAAAGAACTTATAGGTTTCAAAGCACCTAATTTCTAGTATAAGAACTGTACTTCAAATGTCCTTTT